CGGCACGAGGGAACAGCCATCCACGTCGAGAGGGAGCACTAGCGTGAGCTCAGGCCACTTAAAGTTTCTTAAGGCCACATTGGTACCTTAAGGCCCATAGGTACCTAAGGCCACAAAGGTACCTTAAGGCCGCATAGGTACCTTAAGGCCATAGAGGTATTAAGGCCACAAGGTACCTTAAGACCACTGAGGTACCTTAAGGCCAAAGAGGTACCTTAAGGCCACAGAGGTACCTTAAGGCCACAGAGGTACCTTAAGGCCACTCGATGTGAATGACTCGGCCGTTACACTGGGGCTCAGGGAATTGAAACCGGTGCGACAGGAACAGACGGCGCGCGGCGGAAAAGTGCCAATGGCGTCGACGACAGACGGACATTGTGATACTGCCTGTGCCTCGCCTCAAAAAGGCAGAAGAAATCGCCGCAGCCGACAAGCTGAGGGGGACCAATCAAACCACAGCGTCAAAAGCGCGCCACCACGTTGTTCGCCATGTTTCTGTACGCAATCTATCATCGCTGAACCAATCATGAACAGAAAAGGCCCAGTGACTTGCGCTTTTGACCCCGCTTTTTTTTATTGGTCCCATCAGCTCGTACGTCGGCTGCGTCTGGACCTGAAAGACTGCGAATTTGAGGAGGTGCCATCAAAAGTTCTTAAAGATTTTTTATTCTTAACCTATAGAAGACTGATGGGGAAAGACTGAATTTGAGACGTGACATCAAAAATTCTTAAACTTTTATTTTATTTTTGAAAAAAAAAATAAAAACGGGGGAGGGAAGGGGGTTAAGTCTCTTTCTTTTTTTTTTAGGCTATAATTGTTTGATACATAGGTTTGAGCCGCCATCATCTAATGTAATCCAATGTGACCACCATAAGCGTGTCACGGATGAAATGACAAATGAAACTCGAACACTCGCCAGTTTGCGTGAGACTCAACAAGCCGCTTAAATCTAATAACTTTTTTTTTTTTTCTAGCTTTTAGCTTTTTTTTTTTTGCGCAGGCCACGAGATTCGTCGTTTGTTCTTGCTTCTGAAGTCTTGCGTGTCCGGTTATATAGTCACTGCCAGGATGAGAACGACAGGGAGACCCTTCAGTTGCCCTGCCTCCAGCGCGAGCTACCTTCGACAGCGCTTCGTCGCCAAGCACGGCGGAAGGCATGAGGCGCGTGCCGGAGGCCGCGGCCGTTCGAAGACACGCCCGCCGTTCTTGTTCTGGCAGTGACTTTATAGTAATATCAGAGAAGATAAAAAGACCCCATTGCTTAAAAACTTCCAACATTTTTTTTTATTATTATTTATGCGTAAAAATGTGCGTCTTGTTTGTCCGTTTCATTACACGTGCTTTGCTATATAGGTTAGTGCCACAAAATAAGCTACGCTTCAGAGTAACGACACTCGGCCATGTTGTGTCTTAAAATCGTGGTTGCCAGTTGTCTGAAGCTTTAACTGAAATCCCAGGAAACGCTTTTCCGCCCTCCACAAATGTTTATACAGTTCGCAACAGAGCAAAGCAATATTACACGAGCTTCCTAACACCGAATCTAATGTTGAGGAAGTCGCACTTTTGAATTGTGACGATCGGTAGTTGCGTCTGCCCTGCACAAGCCCCTAAACGGCGGCGCCCACGACAATGGGACGGAGTGCCGATACTCTAAGCGCAGCCCATTTAGTGGCTCTAATATAGGTGTGATGGCGAACACGTTGAAAGAAAAGATATTAGACAAGAAGTCACAAAAAAAAAAAGGAGAAATTATTCTTGTAGCTGTGCAGGGCGGTGAGCTTCTCTAGCGCTCGGTCTTTCACGAATGCAATTTAGGAATGCGGCGAAAGATCCTGAAAACGCAGCGGTACAAGACTACCGAAGCGGAGGTGATTTTATTTTATAACTGTTCGATAGTTAATTCGGTGACGTAGTCGGTTAACCATTTCTCAGCCTACTCGCAAGCAATGCGGAACCAAAAACAAGCGTAAAATGGCCTATTTGTGTAGATAATGTTATTCTTATGTATATGTATTTTCTTTAGAAGCACTTTGGCCAAGTAAATCAAACCCGTTTCGACGAAGGTGCAATTCAGCCGAACGATGTGGCTTGATGGTGCGCGTTTGCAGTGTATAGGAGGTATTCACTGGACGGCATATTTGAGGGCGATGTTTAGAGCGCATGCCCAGAACGAGCTCACATTAATCGCCTGCTAAGACCGGCAACCTTGACGGTGCTAAATGCACGCTCCAAAAGGGCTGCGGAAGCTCGCCGTCAGCACGCGCTCAGCAGCAGCGCACACGGATATGGCCGCAGACGACACACGCGCGTGATGTCATACGGCACCGTACCAGCAACCATTGTTTCGTACGATATGTGCTCCTGTGCCCATACCTTCTCCAGTGTATACATTTGGCACCCTCAAATGTGTTCTTCTCGCAACCCTTGCCAAGAAGAAGAAATTCGATGGTGACAAGATGTACGCTACAGAAGGTACGGGCCCACGGTTGCATGGTGCGGAGCAGTGGCGGCTGATGTGAGCACATTCAGCAGATTCGAGCGCGTGAGTTGCAGCGCCAACCAGACTGTTTGTTTCCGTTTGTCTCTATGTAGGAAGAACACCTTTCCATTTTCTCGCATTTCTTTTTCTCAGAAACCTACCGGCCGTCAGGACATTTGAGTATTACATACTCACCACCCAAAGTCACCTAAGTGGAAAGTTTAATTTCTTACTTATACGGCTTTTATTTATTTATTTTTTTTCGACTGAATAGCGTTTGAGAACTCCCTACTCAAATAAATGCCGCATAGATTAATTTTTCGTCGTCTGATACGTACACTTTACGCAGAGCGGACGGAAACAATACAAAGCAGCCATCTTGAAAGCTATGCGCGATCACACGGGAGTTCTCGTAGATCACTACCGTTGTCCCGCAACGCTCCCCGCAAACCGCTTCGAGATAGCAGGCAAGGCAAGGCCGGCGCGCATGCGCAGTTCTGACTGCGCTCTCCGTAGAGCGGAGCGCGGAGCGGAGCCGTTGCACGCAAGTGGTCTACCAAACTACCGAAGCGTTATTTTGCTCCCTTTGGGACCACCATGATGCATGACCAACGAGTGGTTTGATAAAAGTATACGTTCCCTGGTGACGGCGTTGGCGGGAAAGGCAGCCAACGCACCATGCCAGGTATTAGGGAGTTTTAGAATAACGTACGCAATTTTAGCGCACGATAGCGCTAAATTTAGCGCTTGCGTTAGCGCATTCTACCCAAGAGAGTTTCGGAATAGCGTTTCTCCGCCACGACGCAAAAGCCTAAGCATCTACAGACCATTTCGCGTTTGCAACGTCACCAAGATACAGTCACAATTTTTATTTCACACACGAAATGCTGTAACTTGAGGAAAAAAACAAAAAAAAAAAGGTTTTTTTGGTCCAGAGTAGCATTTTAGATCTGTTTAAACAACGACCGGCTTGCCGGTCGTGGTTTAAACAAGAGAATGCGACGCGAGCGGTCGTTTGGTTTTGTGTATTGACCTGCACACACCGTGCCTTCGCCGAGAAATATTCGCGCGTCGCAAGCGTCAAGTTGCCGGTGATCGTTGCCCGGTTTTTTAAACCGAGTAAAAATATCATCCCGTATTAAAAAACGCATTGGCGCTGCAATTGCGAACCTTGAAACGCGCGCGCCTAGATCGAGGTATCCATCGATCTTTGGGGAGATAACATAATTTGTTTGAATACCACGTGACAACAGTATAATTTGAAACGACAACAAAATCAACACGTAAGTTAATCGTTCGTTTACAAATGATCCAATCACGTGTGGTGACTTCGCAGCACCGGCGGTAGCTACACCGTTGTCCAACAAGATATGGCGGCGTCAACGTCACTTGAGCAAGATTAGAGAAAAATGATAGGTAACCGATTAAATCTGGTGTGTGGAAGCACAAAAAAAAAAAAGTAATGTCTTAGGCGAATGAAAAAAAAAATATATATATATATATATATATAGAGAGAGAGAGAGAGAAAGAGAGAGAGTGTGTCCTCAAAAAAAAAATTTTTTTTTAAACGTTGATTTAGACATTAAGCTTGCCTTTTATTTTTTTCTTCTTTTTTTTTCTACAAATATAAGTATTGTATTTCGCCCAGTGTGTGAATTACTCGCTAACCTTTTTTTTTTCTGATTTTGCGGTTATTTTTTAATGCCTAGCACAAGTTCGTCTGCTTCTTGTGCAAGGGTTGCGGTGACGTCAGAACGCCGAGCTCTAATTGGCTCTATTGAATGGATAGTGGGCAGACCTCAAGGCAGCACTGAGGTCTACCCACTACGTTTCTAATCAAGCCAATCAGAGCTCTTTGTTCTGACGTCACTGCAACCCCGGCGCAAGAAGCAGACGAACTTGTGCTCCCCATAAATCTATGAATCACGAACAGATGGTCCCGCGCTGACGTCCGTACCCATACGACATATCATGGGGACGCTGCGACGGCTACGCCCCAAATGACGGCGCACTTTTCGGCCAGCTCTTTACGAAGAAACGTCACGCGTCTAGATCCCCGCGAGGCCCGCCCGTGACAGCCAATCACTGCCAAGACAAGCGATATAGGGCTGTACCGATCAATACATTTGCACTCAAAACATCGAGCTCCCATCGCGACTACTGGCGTTTGCACGCTGTGTTGGTGTCATTTTGCAACTGCATTGCCAGGTTCGGCCAGCGTCTCGCATTCTCAGCGAGATTGCGCGCAGACACGCAGATTGGAGACGAGTGTTTACGTCTACGTTCGGCCGGACATCGTGTCCAATCGATGGGTAGAAGGACACCCGGGGTCCGGTTCGGGCCCAATCGTCATCCTAGCGCGATGCCGTTTTACGTGGGTATATGTAGCGCGCAGACTATCCACACACGGACTTTGATCGATCTGTTGGTCTGGCACGGCGAAATGTGGTATTTCGTTCTTTAGTGCTTCTGTATCCCCTCGCGGTGGAAGAGCTAGAGGTAACTCAAAATTGCACTCACGCTGGACGCAAAGATGCTGGAAGTGCTCGAACTTTTCGCATGCCGATTCCGCTGAGTACCCTCGCCAAGCACCTTAGCAAACTGGTCCATGGCACCTGCAAAGGCAGAACGAAATACACGCTCGCGAACGATTCGGGCAAAAAAACGAAGCACAGAACTCAGATCGAATCTCAAACTTCTTTTAGGCAAGCTTTAGCGATACCTGGAACCCTTAAAACATATATAGGATAGGTTATTCGGGCGTGGTAGATAGCTGCCAGTAAGTGAGGTCGTTTTTAGATCGAATTCTGCTTGTAGGACCCTCAGAAAGAATGACAGTTGCGCAGATAACAGGGCCATGGCTCACGTATCAGCAATAGCACGATGTGTCTACCCCTGCTATCGTAGTTCCTGTTATTATTATTGTTATTCATATATTACAAGGACTTCTCAATCCGGGGCATATTAGTCAGGCTTGAGCCAACGTACCGATGTTACCGGGAAAAAAATCCTCCGTTCTTATGCGTGCTGAACCAGCGCTGGCTGAACGGACCCTTCACATCAGCGGCAGCAGATACCGAAAGGGCGAACTAGCTTGAATGCGAGCAGCACAATGCGTAATCGTCGAAGCAGGTGTTAGGCGCTCACGGCAGGTGCGTTTTATTTTTATTAGTAACGAAAGCGGAGGAATTAAGAAACTAACCACTTATTACGACAGAGGCACTCGTCCAAACTTGGCCATGCCGACGATCCGATACATCAAATCGAGGTGGACTTTGGGTTTTATTGCACAGCTTTGGCGTCGACTAGCGAAACTTTGGGAAGACACGGCACAGCTCGAACAGCCACGAAGGCATCCTTACATTTCTATGCGCTTCAGTCATTTGTATAAACTAGAGAACACCCACACCCATCCCGCACCCAGATACAAGATGCGGAGTACTAGCCTTGTTTATTTTTGATTTTTTTACTTTTCAGCGATCATTTCACTTTGTCCACTGCCGTCGCGTGAAATATTTTTTTCCAGGTGTTGGCAGATAACTTTCGAATCTTTGCGGCGCCGCTACGTGTGCGCAATTTAGCGCTATTTGTTAATTTTTGTCACACGCTGATATCTTTTCCGCCTTTTTCTGCCGCAAACCTGATCCGTTTCACGTTTTTTTCTTATTTGTTTTCGAGCGTGTTCGACTATTTCGAGTCAGAGACTCTAGAGTCGAACGTTACACAACTAAGATTTAAAAAAATTACGTCATGCTTTTTTTTACACTGGCGTCGCAAAAACACATAATCGAACGCATTACTCTCAATGTTTAAAGACGTACTAATGATTCTGTCAACTTTGACTAAATAAAACAAAAACTTGTGCCATCGAGGTAACAATAAATACAAATTATAAAGCAATATAATAAGTTCAGTTAGATCATTTTTATGATTACAATTTTAACGATAATTTGGCAAAAATAAGATTATCATTTTTCTGGTTGTGAGAGTTTTGAACGGTTCTCGCCAGGTGGCGAGTACCCAAATTTTTTTTATTTTTAATATTTGGGCAGGGCTACAGTGTCATTTGCACTGGCCTGCTGTACACCTTCGCCTTGGAATGGAGAAAAAATAAGATAAATCGGCTGTCCCCGTGGTATCGCAGGTAACATCCAAAGTGGCGCCGGGACCTGCGTCACTTTTACTATAATTTCCACGAGTCGATTTCGCCGGGACGCGTAACGGTAAGTGACCGATGACCATCGGCAGCTATCAACCACTGCTGTCTCGGCACGGCTTGCTACACACCTGTCAGCTCTATCGGAATTTCTTGGTGCGACTACGACATTAATTATCATACTGCATCAATTGATTCCATTGGCTAGAAACACACATACACTCAGGCCATTTCCCGGCTCGAAACATGCACGCAAACGCCGGCGGCGGCAGTCAACTTCTGCCCGAGGTGTCTGAGTGTGACAAACGCGACATATTTTTCTTGTATTTGCAGCTATCACAGCACCATGTCTGCTTCAGCAATCTACATACTGGACCTGAAGGGCAAGGTATGACACGGCGATTTTCGTTAACGTGACCGGAGGCGGTGTTTTTCTTCGCAACCTGGCGTCAATACACGAAGCGATAAAGTATGGCAAAGATCGGTTTCTCTTTTTTTTTTTTCTTCTTGGTGGTGTGCAGTGTTCGCTTCGTAAGTGTTTTACGACGTTGGTGACCGCCGCGAAATAACTTTTGCACTCGCGGCCGACCTGTACCAATTGTATCGCTGGAACAGCCAAATTTGAGCAGAACCTTGACCTAGATGCAGATCAATTAACTGCCTCGAATGGCCGTCCAGCAACTCTGATTTGCCAATCGAGAAATTGCGCAAGCCCTCAAACATAGCCGATTGCCACCGCCTGAATGATGAAAGCATGGGGGTTGTAACCTTCGAGGAAGTCTGCTTTAAAACCTTATCATAATCCCCCCCTCCTCCCAACCAATGCAATGGTTTCTTTGCTGCCATATTTGGATGGTGCATAAATCATTGCACAGGTTTTCATGTGCTATTCGTTTTGAAGGAATGGCAAACCCATTTTGTATGGGTGGATGTATTCGCTAGCCAGTGTAGCTGTTTCTGCTGCATTTGAGCATGTGCAATACTCCAATCCAGCTTACGACAAACTGCAGCAAACGCTGTGATCAATCGGAGCCAACGTAACGCCGTGTGAGTGTCGGGCTATTTTCTGTACAGGCCCAGTGATGCACTTAGCCACGCTATACGGCGCTGCATTTGCCGAGATGGCCCGCGGCACCTGCCGACGTTTATTGTTAGGTGATGCTGCTGCAATGCATTTCACACCATCAAAACCGTTTTTCTCGAATGACTCCAAATGGCTGTTTGCTCTGTGCGTTCACTAGTTACGACGGCCGGTAAATGCCACCTGTAGAGATTTCTACCATTCGTTAGAATTGCCAGCACAACGACGAAGGGACGTCAACGGCCGATTTAAAGACAAGTGGTGCTGGAGAGTGGCAACCGACCGATGAATGTCACCCTAGCAGCGGTCGCCAAAAACTGTTTCACATGAAACTGAATTATTCCATTTTGGCATTGCCAAGGTCGGGGAGTGGAACTTTTCAGGGTCTGAATCCGCCTAAAATGTGGGAAGTTGCATCGGCTGTAACTAGGGTTCTTTGTTTATGGAAAAGACTAGGGGTGGGCGACTGGCAGTGTGAATTGAATGGCTAGCATCATCCTTAGCTTCAACATTGCAGAGAGGGCCCTTATGTCGGTTTCTCCAGCACTATGAGGACTATCAATGACGCGGTGCTATTCAATTCCAACCGCTATTGGCCCATCTCTAGAAAATACCTATAAAACCCCTTTGTTAACCCTTTGACGGTCGTCACCATACATGTACGGCTGCAATTACACATTTGAAAGTGCCCCCCCCCCCTTTCCCTTTTTCCTCCCCAGATTCAAAGAAAAATAAGCTCCAAAAACACTGAACCCTAGCTGCAGCAACAACTACTCTTCCATCATACAAAAGACACCATGTTCGCCGCAGACATGATGACAAAATTTTTTGCGGATGCTCCTCAAGCATGTTCGAAACATGTTTGTTTTATACATAGTATGCACGCTTCGAACATGCCTGCAGTCAGTTTCATGTACAACCCACGCGACAGCACCGCCACACGAGAAAGAAACGCGCCTTGGTCAGTGCCTGCAGACTGTCTTTTGCATGATATATCAGTGTCCGGCCGTCGTCTGCATAGGCGCAGCTGCCGCCAACATTTCACGTTGCAGTTCTTCGTTCCAGTTGAGGAGAGTGGGCATCTCGGTAAGGTCTGCCTGCTTTGCAGGTGCTAATATCGCGGAACTACCGGGGCGACATCGACATGTCGTCCATCGACAAGTTCATGACGTTGCTCATGGAGAAGGAGGAAGAAGGCTGCGTGACACCCATAATGCGTCACGCGGACATCGCCTTCATGTACATCAAGCACAACAACCTTTACCGTATCCTTTTGCAGTTCCTTAGCACCGGGGAAATCTGTCGGAGCACGAAGTGCCGGTCACCGCTGGGATGGGAACGGCAGGGTGTCTCTTTCAGATGATTGGCCTCCTGTATGTGTTTGTTGCCTTCCACTGTGCTCTGGTTGTGTATGCACGCTCGCGCTGGGGGTGGGACAGCTGAGGAACGTCTCCCTGCCGTCCTGATTCTGTCAGCGACTGTAGCCGAGCGCGAAACGACTCGCAGCCGGTAAAGTGTCCAGAGAAACTGTCGGAAACGGTGCCTCGTGTCAGAAATGCAGTGGCTGTTGCAGATGGGTTGAGGAAACAGTGCTTTCAACTCTTGCCGAGGAGCGCTCGGAACGTTGACCCATTTAGTTGCAACCCGGGCAGGTGCTACTTTTTCGCTGCAGGAATCGTGTAAGAGACAAAGAAAACATACAGCAGGCATGGGACTGCCCGACTGTTTACTCCCTCGTGACGTGCTGTTGCAGTATTCATTCTAAGCACTGAAACGAGGATTGAGAGGCTTAGCGTAGCTCTTGTCGGGTAGAGTAACCGAGCCCATTGGAATGCTGCAGTTGCAGACAGTTTTAATGGCCTTGTATCACTTATTATTCCACAACACAACTGACACCTGCGTTTCTTACATGCCTGAAAACAGTTTTAGAGCGGACATTTTGGTGCGCCCAAAAACTGTGGTTTAGCATACCACTCTGACGAACATGGAGCATAAATGCCCAGTGAGACCCGCATTTACGCCTGCATTGCTGTCATAAACTTCACATATTCACATCTATTGGGTTGAGCACTATAGTATATTTATTATGTTTTATGTTGAACCAATGTGGCCATTTCCCTCCTCTTGCTGTTAAGTGTTCTTTACCTCGGTGTCATATGCAGGGCTCGATTTTCCCGAAACAAAAAGATGTAACGCGTGGTGCCATAATATCCCCAGAGATGCCCCACCCCCGAAAGATAACCCAACTCTATTTTTGGCACGATTTCTTATTTTTCTACATACACCGAAAGGTAGCCCACTTCTAGTAATTGCAGCACCTTGGCCGTTGGTGACCTCAGCAGAAATGGCGTTAGTTAGCCACGACGGGGGACAAGCAAACATTGCTGACTGGGAGCAACAGCCGTCTCCATTGCCCCTCCTTGAGATTACAAGTTTTGCAGGTCATAAAGCCTAAACTTAGCATTTTTTCAACTTTTTTTTTTATTGCACATTGAAAGTCAGCCCACTCCTTTTTTCCACCCGATTTGCTTTCGATTTTAGGTGGGCTGTCTCTCGGGATGTTAAGGTAGCTTCTTAGCTGAAACAATCCAAGGGGGCTATGCAAGATGGCGGGACGAAGGGACCGGGACGTCGCACCAGGCGGCGACGTCCGGGTCCCTCCATCCCGTCTCGTCGTCTTGCATAGCCTCCAAGACGTCGCATAAATAGTTGCTGTATCCAACATTGTCCAACTGGAAGTGCTCCCATGTGCAGTGCCCTCCCCAGGTTTCCTATACCCTTCGTCAGTGGTGTCCACATCAAAGAAGAATGCCAACGTGGCCCTGATCTTTGCATTCCTACACAAGATAGTGACTGTAAGTAAGCCTCGCACCCGCTGAAGCGTACCCGGTGTCGGTATTGTACTCACCGCCGTGCTTCTTGTCACCAGGTGTTCAGCGAGTACTTTAAGGAACTCGAAGAAGAAAGCATCCGCGACAATTTCGTCATCATCTACGAGCTGCTAGACGAACTGATGGACTTTGGCTATCCCCAGACCACCGACAGCAAAATCCTCCAGGAGTGAGTGGTTCGGTTTAATTCTGTCCAAACTGTACAATGATTACTCAAAGGGGCCACTCAAATGCTTTTTGTAGGAAGCTTGTTTTGGATGGCATATCGTTTGTTGGGCTTTTAGTCAATAAAAATGAAGTCGTGGTAAACCCGCAGCAATAGGAACACATGGGCACTATTTTCGGAGGGGGTCCTTGGGGTCCCCACCACCTCTATAAAACTTGACCAATGATAATAGTTACAAGAAAGAAAATAGTTAATAACGTGGCGATTCGCAAGGTTACTATTATTGCTCTTTTTGGTACGTCGCACATTATATTTCGACAAAAACGTTGTCTTTGGGTGTAGGAGACTTAAAGGGCAACTCCGCCCAATTCCGAAAAATTTAGGCTTACATGTGATTCCATTTCACAAAGCAATACTAAACAGCTCTACGTCCTCGGATTCGCGAGATGTGGAATATTATTTGTGTAATCTTAATTTAAACATCAGCTGGTACCGAAACCGAAACTTCGGTTGCGTCAGGCAACATTGGCCTCGTGCCGTCAGAGTCATGGCCACGTCACGTCGAACCACGTGGTCTTGTGACGTTCGGGAAGGAGCGAGGGACAGGACACGCGACGCGGGCAGGTCGCTTCGCATGGGGTGGACGGTGATGGCTCGGGGGAGTGGGGGAAAAGGAGAAGACAAAAAAGGAGAGGGAGAGCGGAGAAACAGACCGATAAGCGCACAGGGCAGCGCAAACTAGCACATCTGCGTTACGGTGATCACGTGGACGCCGTTCAGCCAACACCGGGAGGAGAAACTCGTGTTGTCATCGTTCAATTTCTCTCTGAGAAGTAAAAACAAACAAAACGTGAGAATGACGTAGTCATGTCTCTGACGTAGTGGCTCAACGTTGGCCGCTCCAACTCCATCGCATTGACTGCGCTGACGATTGCGCCTCACGTCGCACGCTGGAGTTGGCAGATTTCGGCGACTTGGCTGATTTGAAAGTTTGCTGGCCAGTTTGTTAAATACAGAGACGGAATTAGATCGTAATATTTGACATCGGGTCTTCCTATATGATACTGAAGAGGGCTACATAGTTTTCTCAATATCGAAAATGAAGCAGAGTTGCCCTTTAATACAGCTGCTATTGTTTGAAAACGCCCTCCGACTTCACCCCCTGGTGTCTGCTCCAAGGCGCAGAAAGAGGGGGGTGTCATGATCTTTGATTAGATATTTAATAGGGAAATCGGCCGGCATTTAATAGGGAAATCAGCCGTCCCTGAGTGTAGTTTCGAGTTTTTTTGGGGGGGATTCCTAGAGCTTGTAGATTGAACTACCGCTATAAACAGATAATCTCGGACTTCACTCCAGTGTCCCTTTTAAGATGCATATGCTAGTGCAATGCTTCCCACACTACGATACTCAGCGACCCATCCAAAATAAATGACTTCGCAAGTGCCGTGGCCCAGGTACATAACGCAGGAGAGTCACAAGATGGAGATCCAGCCCAAGCTGCCGATGGCGGTGACCAACGCGGTGTCGTGGCGCTCGGAGGGCATCAAGTACCGGAAGAATGAGGTGTTCCTGGACGTCATCGAGTCGGTGAACCTGCTGGCCAATGCCAACGGCAACGTGCTGCGCAGCGAGATCGTGGGCTGCATCAAGATGCGCGTATACCTGTCGGGCATGCCGGAGCTGCGGCTGGGCCTCAACGACAAGGTGCTCTTCGAGAGCACCGGACGTGAGTCTCGTGCACGTTCGTGCACCGCTTCGCAAAAACTGAAGCGTTTGCTTTCTGAATCGGTGGTTTGGTAGTATCAAGGTTCCTTATATATCTACCGTATTTACTCACATAATGAACACACTTTTTTCCCGAAAAATTGACACATATTTGGAGGTTCATTATGTGGGGTAAAACTTCTGCATTTACAGACTTCGTGTAAATGTCTCATTAGGTGCCAATATGACACGGCAAGGTGCTGTGGCACGTCTCCACTCATGGAAGCACAGTTACGGCTGATCGGGGCACACCACAGTAACCATGCTTTGTAAGTTGCGAACCTTTTTGGGGCGCTTTCGGCGTGCTTGAAGGAAAAGCGCCCTACGAAGCTCACTTGGCACGAAGAGCAACGCGACCGTTCTTAGGCCTAACCACTTTCACGATTTCACTGTCCGAAAGCGGACCACAGACGGTGGTGTGTTCGTTGACATCAATGCATCCAATAGGCGAAGAATGTCCGTGGCTGGGTAATTCCTCGATCCAAGCTTCGCTTGGTTTCACGGTTGATCACTTCCGCAACTACGCACTTGCAGCCATTACGAGAGCGGCTTGACTTGGCTTAACTTGGCCTGACCGCTTGGCGGAAAAAGAAAATTGGCTCAGTGGCTCGTTAAATTAGACGCAATTCGAGACTGGCGGAGCTGAAAATCGGTGGTGCATTCATTACACGAGGGAAAAAAAAAAAAAAAGTCGAAGTAAATATGGTATATAATAATAAAATAAGGTTTATTAAAAATAAAAAGCAATATTGATGAGGCTCGCAAAAGCGCAGCTCTGTTTGCGGGTGGGACCTGGAGTCTGGTGGAGACATGAATAGTTATACGCTTGACAACAAAACAAAAAGAATATTCAACCTTGTAAAACAAAAATGGACCAGCGAGATGAAACACTTGCTGGTCTCGAAGCTTTGGCAGTTTCTTTGCTAAAAAATAGTTTCACCACAGTCAGCGGTGATCCAAGTAAAAGTAAAAGAAAGAAAAAATTGTGAAAGAATTTGATAACATTTTTTTAAAGCAGATGTAGCATCCCTTGCGTGGCATTTCAATTATTCCAAAATAATACGACCTTTCATTCTCGAGTGTAGCTGGAGTTTCCAATCGTCCCATTTTTTTCTATGGGTTCGCGGGGTCCTTTAGTTCTGGCTTTATGAAGGAGTCGACACATCCAGCAACTTTTCTCCACGTTGGTTTTTTCAAACCCACATCTATCCTTTGGGTCCTCTGAACGATCCGATCGGTTGGCTCCTAACGTTGGCAACACGCCTTTGGTGCTTCAGTTTGTCGCTAGGGAAAACTTCTATGTGGCGTGACAAAAAGATTCCAGACCGGACAAGCTAAGGACCCTAGTAATATAAATCACCCCCCCCCCCCCCCCCCCCCGCTTTAGTTTTCGGCCGCACATGTAATTTTTATGTGACATGCATACTAAAGAAAATTAGCTTATATTTTCTGTTTGTCGGTGCTGTGCATTCCACATTGCTTGACCTGATGCCAGTGACTCGTGGTGCTAAGTCGAGGTGTTGCGCAGTGTCAATAACACGACTAGATCTAATACTGTTGGGTGTTAAGTTGTGGTGTAGCATAACGTCACGTGACATGAAACTACAACTTGACACCGTGACCATGTTGTGTGGCATTGTGCCACACAGCATGACGTCACGACACGGTGACATTGCTGGACCCTGTCGTGACCTCATGGTGTCGTGGAACACTACCACGCGACGTGATGTCACATGCTCACGTCGCGCAGCATTGTACAATTAATCGGAGAGTGCTAGTAACAAAACATTGTTAAAGCCCACAACGTTTCTCGTAGAATGCAATTCTGCATGTGATGGTTTGGTCGGTAGATTGAAATACAACTGCCGATTGTTTCGTGCCACCAACCTTTATTCTTTTCCGTCTCTCTTAATTTAAAGGGGAGGGGCGTAAATGTTTCTAAGCAAGGTGGCGCAAGCTACCACCCGATACAAAAGGTTTATCCACTACCATCCTTCCGTTCACTTTGTCTGCACCCTCCTTTCCCCAAATCCAGGTGGGAAGAGCAAGTCCGTGGAGCTGGAGGACGTCAAGTTCCACCAGTGTGTGCGGTTGTCACGCTTCGAGAACGACCGCACCATCTCCTTCATTCCGCCCGACGGGGAGTTTGAGCTCATGTCCTACCGGCTCAACACTCACGTGAGTGCTGCCTCGACTCCCATGTCTGCTAGGACCGCTAAATAAGTCATACTTCCATGGGTACTCAAAGCAGGTTCCTAGGAACCTGTACCCTGAAAGGTTCTCCAGAGGACCCTCAAGGCATCCCCTCAATACCGTCAGGGGCTCCCCAGAGTACCCCTAGGGTTCCCCAGATTAGGTCAGGGGTTCCCCAGAATACTGCCGGGTGTTTCCTAGAATGCTGTCGGAAGTTCCTCAAGTATTCTTAGGGTTTCTCCACAATACAGGCGGGGTTCCCCGAGCTCGCAAATTTCACCGAACATCTCCGCCCTTATGCAAAGTTTTTCTACTGTTTAAGCACTATTTGAGAAGATCTGAGTCACCCGCTGATGCATGAGTATCAGCCAATTATTCCCTAGTCAGTGAATTACTGTTTAGTGAGCCTGTAGGCTTTTGCGCCACTTTATTTTACCAGTGCCGAGACCGGGAAAAGTTCTTCAGCCGCCATTCGAGAGATATGAGGGTTCCTCGAGATTCAAACGTTTGAGAACCCACGGCTGGGAGCATCGGCAATCCGTTCCCCGATCGTCTTTTGAATGCCACTGTTTTGTTGTTAAGTGCAGAGTCTGTGCAATATTGTTGGACGTCGTTCACGGCTCAGAACTAGCTCCCATTTGTTCTTTTCCAACAACGATGATTCTGATTGCTTGGAACGAACGTTGGAACATGCATCCTTGTGCATTCCGCGCAGAAAGTGAAGCCGAAGTTATGGGTGCCTGCGGACCTTGAGCAGCTGATCAAGGTCGTGGGTGCGCTATGTTCGCCTCTTCCGAAATTCCTCCCCAATAAAAAACAATCGTCTCCGTGCGTCGTTTTGAGCACACGCCACGAACAATGTCCGACAAAATGGCGTCCATTGGCAACAATTAAGGTTAAAAATGGACTTATGTCTTCAGAGGTGTCGTTACTCTGAAATGTGGACTATTTATAGTCGCCGACACAGTGAGAATGGATGGGATGAGCTTCAGTTGACCCACCTCCAACGCGAGCTTCCCACATCCGGCAACGCTCCAGCATTTTGAGCACGCGCGCGCAGCCGGAGCACGTCGATAGACACGTAGCGCATTCTGCCGTTCTCACAGTGTCAGTTATCATAGTGGCCCTAGTCTCACCAGCCCGGTGCACGTCGCCAACATCTGCCTCTGAAAACGTTGCAGGTCAAGCCGCTCATCTGGATAGAGTCGGTCATCGAGCGCCACGCCCACAGCAGAGTGGAGTACATGGTCAAGGTGAGGGGAGGGAGATGCACAACCACAGTCTCGAAGGGGTGCCCCAGCGAAGTTCCAACGGTCGCCGAGTTGCAATAATTTTTTTTTTTTTATGCGAAGCTTGGCATAGTTGCTTTGTGCGATTGTTTTTGCCTGTCTGTTCTCGCTAGGGCAACCTTCTGAACCGAGTTTCGAAGGAGCCTGCATGTGAAGGCTCGTGGCGTACAAAGCCAACCGGGTGGGTCCTTGGCTGCAACACCCGAGACGAATGCAACCCAAACGTGCGCGTGCACTCAGCTCATTTCATGTGCGTGGGCTCAAACTAATTTGCTCTCTTGTGGTGTAAAAGTTCCCAAAAAAGAGTGTTCTTTTCCGCCGTAAAAGTTGTGCCTGGAATGCGTCTCCAACCAATGTTTACCGCATAAAAAAAAAGCTGTTCCCTCGATTTCCGCTTGGTGACGTCATAGAAGTGTCACGCTGTCGCCGGTTGCCATCTTGTTGGTGTTGCAGCATCGGCGGAGAATGTGGCAGACACCCGTTCTGCTGCAGGTTGCTCTGCAGCTCGATGCTGCAGAGCTCGATGCTGCAGAGCTCGATGCTGCAGAGCTCGATGCTGCAGAGCTCGATGCTGCAGAGCTCGATGCTGCAGAGCTCGATGCTGCAGAGCTCGATGCTGCAGAGCTCGATGCTGCAGAGTTTGATGCACCAGATGCCGAAGTTTTGGAACGCTTCGTCGTCTTATTCAAAAGCTGCGAGCGATTTTCGGAAGTTTCCGGCGGATAAACGGAAACCGACAAAGCCCATGTATGCACGGAGACGAACGGCGTCGGAACGAGCCCCGTTTCCCCATCGACGTATTTTGGGCTCTCGTTTCTCTCTAAACGCCTTTCAGACACTCGCAGCTGACTATAATCGAGTGCAACAAGACCGGTTTCTAAGCCTCTTGCAACGGCTTACGACCGGCTGTGCGGCAATGCAGCATGTCGTAAGCCGTCCCAAGAGGCTTAAAAACCGGTCTCGTCTCATTCGGTCATAGTCGAGCGCAAGCGTGTGAACGGGCCTTAACATTTGCAACCACCACTCGGGCGCAGGCAAAGAGCCAGTTCAAGCGACGTTCGACAGCGAACAACGTGGAGATAGTCATTCCCGTACCGACAGACGCCGACACTCCCAAGTTCAAGACGACGGTCGGCAACGTCAAGTACGCTCCCGAGCAGAGTGCGGTGGTCTGGAGTATCAAGTCGTTTCCGGTGAGTCGCCAGTCGCCGCTCCGTGGTTCCTCGGTGGCCGCCCTAATTTACGACGTTGGAATGTGCAACTTTGTCATGGCACACCGCTGCGCTCGCTGGAAGAAGTGTGGAGTGGGATTGGTTGTCATCCTTTCCGTCAAATTTTTGGGTCTTTGAAAAACGGCCGCCGCAGGCATGTAGCCAGGATTTTGTTTCAAAAAAGAGGGGGGGGGGGGCCTTCCCCCCCCCCTGGATAGGTGCTTGGGCCGCCGACGGGTATAACGGGTACAATTACGACAATGTTGTAGTGACTATTTCTTATAGGTACTGCATAGGTTTGAACTTGCCGATACCGTGCAACACTTCAGTACGGTCATACGGAGATTGAAAGTGGTTCCAGAACTACTTGACAGGTGGCACCGGTGTGCGAATTTGTTCCCTCGTCGTACGCGTTTATGAGGGAACGTAATGCACTCGAGTACACTTGAATGCAAATGCGTGAATCATCCTTCACTTGGATGCACCCCCGCGAAAATGAATGCTAGGTCGAGCAATGCGCCCGTAGCTTTGACGGTGTTGTTTGCTGCACACGAAACGGACCATAGGTCCCAATGCTTGGCGCGTCAGCGCAGCCAGTTGAAGCTTTGACCACAGTAGTGATCTTAATTTTTTCTTTTGCTTTGGCACATTGCTTTGAAGGGTGAACAAACTAGGTGGCCTGTGACTTTCACATGACGTGGTTCTAGTGTTCAGAGGAAAACGGGGAGACGCACGCTTCGCATCTCCCACTTCCTCTCGAGCATCGGGAGCGCGAGCTAGCTCATAGCAGGGTAGGAACTGCGTACTAGTGCCATCGGGTCTTCGTTGCATTTGAGGGAACGTCTAAGCCGGGGGGATCTCTTCGGAAGGTGCGGTCGGCCCGACGTTTGGTTTGTTTGCGTGTTGCGCAGGGTGGCAAGGAGTACCTCATGAGGGCGCACTTTGGCCTTCCCAGCGTGGAGAGCGAAGAGACGGAGGGCCGGGCACCCATCCAAGTCAAGTTCGAGATCCCCTACTTCACCACTTCGGGCATTCAGGCAAGTCTGCCGACGTCGCGTGTGCCTTTCCTGGAGAGGGAGAGGGACTATAGTTGCTGACGGACTAAGAATGGCAGGGCATGTCGTTCTTGCTCTGTTAGGGACTATAACAACAGTCATAGTTTCATGATAAACTAAGAAGTAGTCGGTAAAGGAACCGGTCTACCTGCCTCAACAAGTTAGCCCTTGCCTACTCCAACAAGGTGTAAAGTTGGGTGAGTTGGTTTTTGATCATAGTATTGAGTAGGTTAAAACAATGCAAAAAGACGAAGGACCAGTAAAAGGAAACACACAAACACAGCGCTGTGTCTTTTCCTTTACTGGTCCTTCGTCTTTTTTCGCTGTTTAACCCATTCAATATGACTTGCCTACTCATTTTTTTTTTTTCAAGGAATGTACAGAAAAACTTAATTTTAAATAGGCAATTTGCATCAAAAAGGACAGGCATTTCCTTGACTTTCAGGTGTGGTACCTTCTTCCTAATCAGAACTTCTGATCTTCTGGTCTTCATCAATATAGTTGACAGTGTGATAACACTGAAAACATCAAGAAAGGTGGAGTGCCACCTTAATTGAAGTGATGAAAACGATTTGCATCCGATCACTGTCCATCAAACTATCCGATTCCAACTAATTGAAAAGGCTGCATGATTTGTCATTACATATGCTTGAGCGTTCACTTCTAAAAAAAAAAGTTTCTGGATCTTTTCGTCGGCTAAAGGGGACATCTGCGCTGAAACCATGTTGTTTTGGCGCAAACACTTACCCAGTGTGTACCTTTTTCTTTGGCTCAATGGAGTGCCTTCTTTCCGTCAAACAGCAACATGAACGAGCTAACAACCTAAAGTAAGTGGAACAACAAGAGTGGTGCTGCCATCTGCCGGAGGGCGCGCTAAACAAGCGCCAAAACTGAAACACAAATCACGCTCGTGGTCGGGCTTTATGGTTTGTAAAGGGTGGCAGAGTGACACTCGGCATTAGTAGGCAAGGGGTTAATGTCTAAGTAAAACGAATTGCCCGTAGGTAGGACCCGACACAGCAACGCACCCTGCACCCGAGATGCAATTCACAACGCAGCCGTCTTTCTTTTTCTCCTTCAGGTGCGATACCTCAAGATCATAGAGAAGAGCGGGTACCAAGCACTCCCCTGGGTCCGCTACATCACGCAAAACGGAGACTATCAACTGCGCACCAACTAACTGTAAAACGCCGTATACGACGGAATGCAACGCGGTGATCGAGCGTCGGCGGGACGGATCGAGAGGCCGCGGCACCACTGTATAACTGTTTTCCCTCCCCTCCCAAAGCGCTCCTGTCCAATAAACTTGCAAGATGATAGAGTGATGCCGCCTGCCCGGAGGAGGGACTGTCTTTTTGGCTCGTTTGTGGCGCCCGCCGAAATCCACCAAATGAGCTAAGCTTCCGGAGGTCACATTTTCGAATTGTAACTATCGTCGATCGCATCCGCTCTGAACTTAGCATCAAAATGGCGGCACCCACGAGACGTTCGGGGAGTGTTGATACTCCCAGAGCTCGTATAGTGGCTCTCGATCGCCGACTGCTATGTTTACCAAGTCCTCATTTGTGCTCGCTCGATTTCTGTTAAACGACTTCACGCTCGCGTCGTCGTGCCGCTGGGTGTCGCGATCCTGGCGGCGGCCCATATGGTGTTGGAGGTGAGTGCGGCAGAGGCCTGCTTTGCTGTACGTCCTTTCCAGCTTGACAGTCTATGAAAACTTCGGCGGCCACGAGTTAGAATGCTGCGGCAACAGCAACGCCTGCGTGTGCTCGTGTGTACTTTTTTCCGGAACTTTTCCGGCCAACGTGAGAGTCGCAGCATCCGATGGCATGCCGCGCCAGCTCCAGCGACGTAATTTGTTGCCACTTCGAGACAGCTTTCGATGCATGGGCGGTGTTGAACACTAAAAGCACCAGTTGACGCGTTCGAAGCGTCGTACCTCGTAACATGGAAATCCACTGAAGCAGTCATCTTTATTGCATGAGGCTGTTTGGCACGGTGAGATGATCTCTGTGGGTGTCGATTCGGCTTTACCGCTCCGCGTGCTCCTGCCGTCGCTGGAATCCAAGAAAAACAAAAAGACAAATGTCATTCTAGTTCGCTTGTGATTGTCCCTTGTGTCGCGCAAAAAACTTCTAGACTGCATCATGAACCAACTAGGCCAATACAAGTTTTAATTGACTACATTCCTTAAAAGGCACTTGAAAAGAAAAAAAAAAGCTTTTTTTGTTTAAACCTGTCAAAAAATAAGTTTTAAGCGAAAAAAAAAAACAAAATTTTAGCAATTATACAGCAAGAGATTTATTAGAAATTCTATGCGCAAAGTCCGTGACGTCACGGAATGGTCATTCACTCTTTCCACCTCAACATGAAGGCAAAGCCGATCTACCTCTCCTCCATGCACCCGAAATGTCGAGACAGAGAACAAGTGGGAAGAAGGTGACACTAACTAAATCTCGTCTCGCGCCGTCACTATTGCTCCTAAAATTTTTCTTTTTCGCGTAAAATTAATTTTTTGACGCATCCCCCATTAAGACTTTAAATTTTTTTTTTTTTTTTTTAAGCAATGGTTTTTACTTTGTTAAGCCACTTCTGAAAATGCGCTTTTCTTTTCTGGGTAAATGAGGGTCGGCAAATGTCTCGTATGCCCCACTTATAGCTTTGTTATGACCAGATGACGTTTTCGTCGTCTTTTCGAGGTCTTTCAGAGTAAACAATCCAGATGTGCACATAAGTAATCATTTCAATCGAATTAAATGAGGGAACAGCCAAAAGACACTGTGATGGGGGTGGTTTCGATACGCCTGTGTACATCTCAATAGTTTTGTGAACGAGGTTTCACAACCAAAGAATAGAACCAAATTAGACGGGCGCGTTCACACTGGGTTAAAAGAAAAATGGCTGACAGCATTGAGCATGCAGCATGGTATGTACTGAAATGGTAGTGCCTTCTATGAAGGTAGGTATTCTGCCATTTGGAGAATGCCTATGCATGCATGGTGAGCCAATATAACTTCTGTAAACAGTTTGTCGTCCATAAACCACTCGTGCAACGTCGTACACCACTTTTTTTTTTTTCCGGATAATTTGCATATGTTAATAATACACTCTTTTGTGTTTTGAGGGGAAGGGGGAGGGGGGTAAGCCCCAAATCCCTCGCTAGGGCACTGTCATAATGCCTATCTTTTCCAAAACAAAAAGACTTGCTTGAAAGAAGAAACAAAAAGCACTATCAAAATTGCAGCTACCTTCGTAGTGAGCCATTTTCACACAAGGGTAGCTGACAGGATGATCACGAGAGGGAGGAGTTCCAGTTGCCTTGCCTCCAGCACGTGCCTCCTAGCTTCGACAACTTCTCGTGAGCCTCGAGTATGCACGCACAGCTCAAGTACGACCACAGCCTTGGTGCCGGAGCAGCTGTTGCTGGGAACGCCCTGCATGTGCCCTGCCTTGGTGGAGCCCATAATCGTGGCCATCTGGTTGCGTTTCATTGCAAGGTGTTTCATTTCTTAGTCAACCGCTGCGCTTTTCCCAGCGCTGAGCGTGTCGTTTCTCGTTCCCCTCCCTCTCTTATGGCCGCTATCATTCTCTCGCTAAACACGCAGCCTTTGTCATGTGCAGCACTCGCACGATAACTTTCATCGCAAAAGCGACCATCTAGGGAAAAAAGCAACGCGTTTTGAGCAGTCGATGGCTGATCAGACTTTTTACGATGCAATCTAGTCGCGGAGCGACTGAGCCAATCGGCGGCATTTGGGGCGAGAGCTCTTGAGAAGCAACTCGCTGATTGCAAGTGCCAGTGTGACCATCGGAATTTTTTGCGATGCGATCTAGTTGCATCGTGCGAGTGCTCCACATCACCGGTGTGAATGCACCTTTATACACCACCGAATCAGTTGAAACGCCCAAGGAGGACGGCCGGTTTGTCATTACTATCGAGATTGGGTGATTGCCCTTTCCCTCTTTTACCCCGATTCCATTGAAATGTCCGGATGTATGTAGATGGCACTGCAGTCGATAAAGTGGCGCCACCCAGAACCTTTGGTGGAATGGTCAAGAAGCGCGAGCTGGAGGTTGGCAATCCGAAAGCGACACGCTGTCGTTCTCATCCTGTCAGCGACTCTAGTCTGTTATAGGTTTAGAGTAGCAGGAGAGGACCCTTTAACGAAGCTCCCTGCTCGCCATGAATGGATGGATGTTAATGGCTATAATCTTTGTAACGGACGGTAGCTTGCACCACCTAACGTAAGTCTAAAAAGAAACGTGATTCCTCCCGCCCTTCTAAGCCAATTTTCTACCCCTATCACCAGGCAGTATGGGATATCACTAGGATGACCTTTGGCGGATCAGGCAAAAAAAGAAAAAACAAAAAAAACATCACCACCAGCCTTTTCCCCACGGCATGGGAGTCGCCAATTTTCTTCTAGTCAAAACTTGGCGGCGTTGCCCCAGCACAGGGGTTAACGCCTCTGTCCCGCCCATCCCCAGCTGTTTCAGTTAGTTGCGCATCATTCGATTTTCCTTAGATAATTTCCACCAATCTTCTAATTGCCCCTTTGCGACTGTAATCCTTTTCTCTTCCATCCTTCCATCGTCGCCAAATTTGTTACCCCTCAGGGAAGGCAGGGCGAAGCCCTATGCACTTTAAAACCAAGTGCTCTAGTGTTTCGCTCTCGTTATGGCATGGCAGCACATAATATGTCTGTCTCCTGAAATTTAGTCATACATGTCCTCCTCCTCAAAAATCCCGTTCTCGCCTCAACTTCCCAGTGAATTGAATGTGTGTGTGTAGGAGTTGTAAAAGAAGGGAGGGGGGAGGAGAGGGCCAATTGTCCAGTGAATTGAAAATGAGATAACTTCCCAGTGTACAATCGGTGAATGATTGGCCGTTTCCTCCTCTCCCGCGTTGGCTCTGCTATAATGAAAAGAGTGGAAGGCTTTGTGGGAGAACCTTGTCCTGATCGTAATCATAATCTTTATTGGCTTAGGAGAGCCGTGGCACCGGCGACTGTCCGTACCATGGAAGCTTGTGGTGCCACGTCTAGTGATGATGATTATGAGATGATATATACAAGTGGAGTACGACGCAGTCTTCTCAACATCGCAAGCACCTTTGCTCGAAGGTTCGGGGCGGGGTTTGCAAAGACACTTCTACCAGTTGTGAGAAATGTCTTGGGAAAGGGTGGTGTCCGAAGGCTTCACCGTATTTATATTCTTAACGTATAGCAGTAAGGTGTTACCGTGTTAGCAGAAGAATTGCCGTTGAGCGTAGTAGCAGTATTCGTCCGAAGGCCGTTGACGAGGTTCGCCAGACTCCTCGGATCAGCGGCGCCGCGCTCGCATAGTTGAACGCAGACGGCCAACGCTTCGGGACTCAGTCCGGTGTTCAGAAGTTGGGACATTTCTTGCAGAACTGCGATTAGAAGTGCCAAGCGTTGCAGCGTCACAACATGCGCGACATTTTGTCTGAATCGAGATCGTCTGCTTCGGGGTTCCCGTTGAGCAGACGCTGTTATGGCGCAGGAACGGCGGAAGAGAGGTTACCTTCAAACACTTCTTTGGCTAGGAGCTCCCTATCTTCACCAGCGTTCGCCATATGGAAAGGTGGAGCAGTTTGGACCATGGTTCGGGGTTCCGGCATTTATAACGATGTTTCTGACAGAAGAGGCGCAATGGCGCGAGCTCGCGCCGTTATTTATTTATTTTTTGTTTGTTTGCATTTGTTTGAGGTATGGCTAACGCCATCTGTAGTGTGCCGTGTCAAAACCGTCAAACCAAAATAAAAGAAACAAGTTCGTAATCAATTAACATGTAATTAAAACAATAAAATAATTTTATAAATTAAAAAAATATAACTATTTCCCGCCCCAATAAAAACTATAGTCACGTGACTTATTAAATGGTGTTCGATTATACTTTTTTAAAGGGGGTTCGAGTTTAATGTTTTAACTCTTAACAGACAAATAAACATTTCATGATTAGACATTTCTACAATTCATTCAAATATTAATCGGCCCAATTTAGAGCAGACACAAATTAATTAATTATAAGTTCAGGTACGACATATATACGCATCTTTCGCATCTTTCCTTCCTACTCTATGCTTTTTCCCCTTTTTTCCGCTCTTTCCTGCGCTGCTCGCTAAATGCGACCAAACGAACGCACCCAAACTGCCCAAACGTTCAAGCAAGCTCATTGGCCGCGTTATTTAAAAGTCCCGGCACGCTCTTTTTCGTCGATTTTGTTGGGGGTCGTTTTATAAAGCGCAAAAACTGAGGGGCAGAACACACACCGAGCGCTTTTGAGTTTGCCACATCGAAGTGCC